TTTTAATCTTTTTTTTTTTACTGGATTAATGATGGGAGCTCCACTTGCTGGAAAAAGAGGACAATCAGACAGATCAGGAACATCCGAAATGTGTCTGACCATGTTCATGGGCACAATCGGACAGATCAGGAGCCTCTGAAATGTATCTGACCATGTTCATGGGCACATTACGTGAAAGATAGTCCAATTGTAGATCCAAAGAAACCTAATCTCGTCCGCAGGCACACATTTCCTTCTGACACGTGTACAGCATTTTTTTTCTTTTCTTTTTACGAGTAAAACTCTGCTCACTTTATTGCAAAAGTAAAAATTGAGGCCGCGAATACCTCAACAAGCAACCTAGAAAAACTTTTTTGAAAACGCATGTACTGGGACCATTAGGTCTTACACATAGACAATGCAAAGCATAGAACGGTGAGATGGTCAAACATGCATGCATGTATTGACAACACGCAAGATAGGAATTTTTTTTGGTCCATTAACAATCATTCCGAAATAAGCGGATCCCCGACCGGTTTCGATCGCCTCCCAGCGAACGTCATCAGGGGGGTTCTTCCACCTCCGTATCCCCTCAAAACCATTCCACCGCCAACCCGCCTCCGTTGCAGTGTCGACATCCCGGAAATGCCGACTGCCCCGTCGGTCCCGGAAAGAGAACCAAACACTATTCCTCATTGCTTAAGTACCCGTCGGTTCCGCTAGGTACGACACAGGGAAATCACCGAGCCCCAATTCAGCAGGCCTTTCCCGTTGGCTCAGATTGCTACGAAAGGACACAAAAAAACAAACCGAAAAAACAAGGAAAAACGACAAAACTTACCCACGAAAAAACTTGGTCCGAAAGGGTTACCTCCCAGGTTTTAGTCCATCCTACAGGCTACTTCTAAAGATCGGTCACACGAAACAAAATAAAACAAAAGGCTACCACAGTCCGACAGTCCCTGTCCAAGGTTCACCCTGTCACGTGAAGGGAGCCTTCCGACAGTACCTACCAAAACAATCAGACCCTGTCGACTGATACGAAAGAACAAATATCCGGATCAGCAAACCCAAGTTATCCGGCTGAGAGAGGGTCAGCCATGAACTGGCAAACATAGGGCCAGGGTTCCGGTTTTCCATGCGAAAAACGTTTGAGGACACGCAGGAACAACCTATCTGGAAAATCCTTAATCCGGAGCTCACGTCGAAGACAGTTCACTCTACGGGGGATCTCCCAACGGGCCGATGTGTTACGGTCAATCCTATGCAAATGCCTGCGATCGCGGCGCTTTTTTGAGACTTACTTCGAGACTTACTTCCCCAGGATCGATAGGACTTACCATTCTTGAATTCCAAAATCTCTGTCCCACAAGGTTTTTTCATTCTTCGTCAACTGCACGCACAGAACCTGCTTCTGCGCATCGCACAGACCAACACACTGGACCGCTGTCCTGACTGTCCACAAACCCGGGAATTTTTTTATTATATTTGTGACGACATCGCCTTGAAGCATTATCATCGGAGTAACCAGCCCAAGTAAATTCAATTTGTGTTTAATCTGACACTGGGTGGCCTTTCAGCCCAGGGTAGCCTTTATTTATTGCCTTCAAGGAACCCCCAAATGGGCCCCAATGGGGGACATCGGCCAGGGGACAGCAAGTAGCAGAGGGACCGAGCATCATCTGAGTGGCCGGCAGTCGCTGTGACTCCCTGATTACCCCTCCCCTACGCCCAGTAGCAGAGGGACTGCTTTTTAAT